TTCGTTCTGATATCTATTGGATTAATAACTTAAGCCCAAAAACAAACATGGCACGCAACTGACCAAAAGAAAAAACGTTTTGCCAGTCTGTCTATAGTAGTCAGAGACAGAGAGTTGACAGCCAGTAGGTGTTGTCTCGTCCAGCTCGATAATGCCCAATTAAATACCCAATGTGACGAAACAGAACTTTTACTTCAAAACTTCTGACAAAACACAATAAAATTTATTGGAGCCACCCGGACTTAGCCAAAACCGTGACTTACTGAGGCACGACTTCCTGTATTCACATGAACTAGAGATTTCAAAATTTTGTACAAGCTTTTAAAGATTCTTGATTAAATATTTTTTTCGTTTTGGCAACAAATGCAGGACCAGCAAAAATAATAAACGTAATCAGATGACCTATATAGTTCTGCATCATTCCAATGTTTCTCCATGTGTTTAAAACTAGAAAGTATACATTTTGGGCACAGAATAAACTGCACCAAGTAATGATAAAGCTATGAGCAATACCAGAGCAATCAACATAAATGTAATTGGTTGTAAGATTCAGTTACAGAAACGTAACAAAGTAATTAATTCTATTGTACACAGTGGTGCACCTGAGTGCAAGGTTCAACAGCAAGGTTATGGTATCAAACATTTATACAAACTTGTGTAACATGCGACAGGTTGATGAAATATCAGCTGACACTGTCAAGCTGAACAAATCCTAAAAATCAAAGTTCAACCTAAAGATACATCCTACTTCTGTAATTGTTTAACATCATACAAGACGTGCCGACAGGAAAGCTTTCTCGAGCTCTGCTATCAGTGCATTGACATGTGACGCAGGTGAGTTAGCCATAGAGGGCGATGTCCCATTCTTTGACCAGAAATCTTAGAATACAAATGCCACAAGGTGTAATTCAATAATAATTTTATTCTGCCGATCTTGTTATATCTACAAGGCTAATTTATTTACTAGACAATAGTCTTCCTCTGCTACACTGTAATTTTGATATCAAAAAAGGAAATCACTGAAATATTTGGGTAGTGAACAAATTCACAGAATCAAAAATGAGTTTTGTTGATCATGTACCAAATATAAATCTGTCCTGGGGGGTAACAAGACCAGTTTCCATGGAAACCAAGATATTAGTTTTTCCCCCTGATGATAGCATCATTAATGGTGAGCTTTTGAGTGGGTAATTTCATTGAGAAAATACGCAGTTGATTTTAAGCAAAATTCACCAATCACATCATCCCTCCCTTGTAGAAGTTATTCTCAAAGCAATTATGAATGTTGCAATTCAGATTTGTCAGAGCTTCTAGTGAAGAGCCATTATTTAATTATTACTGTAAATTCTACAAAGTCAATGTAATTAATTCAAAATGATTCTACAGTATTATAAGACCAAAAGCAAAATTCATAGAATAACCACTTTAGGTCTGCATTAAAATAAAAAAACAAAATTGCTGCAGAAAAAAAAAATCCCGGCCAAAAATATATATTCAAAAAATAAAAAAAAAACAATTTCACTAAAAGCAATGATATGTCATGTCAATCAAAAAAAACAAAAAAACAGAACATTTAGGAGAAAGAAAAAAATATACAACAGCTTGTGTTGAAATTTCTGCAAAGAAAAATAAAATACATGTACCTCATTTGCTCAATTAGAAGCACATTAATACAAATGCACATAAACCAAAAATTGCATTTATTGTATACTAGATCATTGAAATATGGCTTGTATTGACCATAGACACACCTCAGTTAATTTATAAGAACTTTTAATAGAGCAAATATGATACTCAACTAAACATCATAGGGACCCCATCACAAAGCAATAAACCAGTCACATGAGGCTGTTATAATGGATAAATTCAGAAACCACACTATATTTACATGTATATTACATAACTAGAGAAACAGATAGAATATACACATTCAATGTTGTAAAGGTGGTTTGGAAACCATATGGTTTAGGTACCCCCCAAAAAAATTTTAATTCATTGGAAAATTTACAAAAAAGGGTAAATTGGTGAAAATAAAATTAGGTAAATATACATTTTCATCCGACTGGCTGGGTGTCAGAAACAGAATAAACACATTCAATATTGAAAATATTGTTGGAAACCATTTGGTGCATCTCCCCCAAACATCTTACCGGTATGAATTATTTATTTTAAATCATTGGAAAATTTACAAAAGGGGTATATTGACGAAAATATAATTAGTTAAATATACATTCTAGTAGACATTCAGGGTATGTGTTGTAAAGTGCGAACACAACATTCCTAGGTTAGTTTTCAGCAGGAAATAAAAACAAAAAGTAATCTACATAAATATACTCTTCCCCAGTAACATTAGCACAAAGTATCCTATGGTTTATTTAACCCTTATCCTGCCATTTACATTAACCAGATGAGGCTTAACGTTGCTTTGACATTACTGTAAAATCCGTATTAGAAACCGCGGCTTCTATTAAAATGGTACAATGCAACAGAGGGGCTGCAGCTTCTATTAGAGCATCTACACGTATGAGAAATGATGAATTTTTGGTTCTAAACTGTTCAAAAGAAATGGGTGCGACTTATATTAGGGATGTGGCTTTTAATACAAATTTTACGGTAATTCAATTTTTCTTGAAAATCTTGAAAACTGCTGAACTAGAGCATCTGATACAAACCAAAGTGACCCTCGGGTCAATCATTGCGTGGGGAAAGTGAAGGATCTGCGCGTAACAACTGACACTACATCTGAAATAACCCTTTTCAAATTGCTTTCAACTAAAATACTGCCTCATACAGGCAATTATAATTTTGGTTGCTTTTGTAGAAAAACTATGTAAATATTTATTTGCAGAGATGCGATAGAAATAAAGTGTACATAATCAATACAAATGCCTATCTGAATTGGGAAATAGAAATATCAAGGAATTTGATTGTACACTGAAGTAGTCAGCATGTTATTTGAATTGGGAGGGGTGTGTCAAATAATTGGCAATTCATCTACTGTATTGTTGAAAGTGTCTTACAATTAGAACCCTGTCATCAATACTTGGAGTCCACAAAGCTCAAACATGTAAAATATTATATTGGTACTGAGCAAATGGTTATGCATATTATTAATATCAACCAGTATGAATTATTAACACACTGATGCATTTTAATTTGCACCTCCAATGCTACAAATGTTGTTATCAAGAAAGATTACCATGACATTAAAGTTCAAAGATTAGTTTAATTGATTGTCATGAATTTTAATTTGACTGACATCTAGCTGTCACATTTTGATCATTTTTTGAAAAACTGAACAGAGCCCCCCACCCCCCCCCCCACCCCCAATCACACCTGTACAACCTGTAGCAGACACAAAGTTGGTAGAATACATAAACAGTGATGAGGTTAGAAATCTGTCCCCTCCGCGAAGAGCAAATTAGGTAAGACGGGACAACCTTCTCCCCATAAGCACCGATACTGTGAGATCTTTCATTCATTCATTCATACAAGGTCTTGAATATTGAAAAATTAGTAAAGACTTCAATGCAGGGATCCTGAAAAAAAATATGGGTGAATAAGTACCACTGTCAATGCATTCAGCAAGATCTATTATAAAGTTCAGAAGTTGAAGTGCAGAGCTTGAAGTGCAGAGCTTGAAGTATAAAGCTTGAAGTACAAAGCTTGACAAAATCACTGAGCCATTTGAAGGGCAGTTGCTAAAGACTGTTTCTGGTCTTCAGATAACTGACTCGTACAAACATTCCATAGTTCAGCATTGCTCTGTGGATTAAACAAAGAGAACATATATAATCAAGACGTTTTCTACACATCTTATACATCATCTGGTGAATGCCACCATGGATATCCAAAATGAACGAGAAAAAAAACATGCCAGCCAGCAATGTGTTAAAGGAACTCTGTCATCAGAACTATTTTACTATTGTTCTTCTATTCCCTGGTTAGTTTTTACGTCACACACCATCACAGATCATCCAAATGCAATAGAGGTTGTAAAGCGATGATCCTTTCTTGGCAAGTCACATATTCACACTTCAGATGAGTGTTGCTTTTAGGTTAGGCCAGGCTTTTTTTATTCCTTGTTTCTCAGTTTTTTTGAGGAGGGCGGAAGACAATTTTATTACATGTATAACCTTGTTTCTCATCTGCGCGAGACTTCGATACTTTGATCATAATACTCCCACAAAAATGCAACTTGGGTTTGTTATGTGACGGGCAAAAAAAAAAAATTAAGATAAAAATAAGTTTTTTTTAGCAATGTTTTGCACTTACAAGTCGGCGGGCGCGAGAAATTACGCTGAAATAAAATTGAATTTTTATTTCATTTTCGGCTACTGTTCATTCGGCGGGTTCGCGAAACAAGGGATATTAAAAGTCTGGCCTTATTAACTCCTGCATAAACCATAAACACTCTGAAAGAAACATCACCACTCTCCTTCCCTCTCAGCAATATTTACACAGAGAAATGATGTGATATCTTCCCAAATACCACCATAAAACATTCTTTTTTTTAATACAAAAATACATGAAATGGATGTTCTTCAATATCACCAAAAACCTTTTTTTTACCTCACTAGGAAAATTTTTAAATAAGTAGATATTTTTTTTTAAAGATCTCAAAAAACATCATCACTTACCTGTATTTGTCTGACAATATTGATCAATCTCTGCGTCAGCTCATTGTCCTCACATGTAGCATCTTTTAAAAACACTTCTGCAATAATTGCTAAAATCCGACTAGAATTGCTATTATTTGCACCAAGAATCTGCACGTTGTTACTGGAATACAAAACAAATACAAATGAAAGACACCACCATCCATGACCAAAGAACTACAAACAGGGAACTGGAGAGAATTCTTAATAACATGATGTTAGTCACGTGTTGAAATCACCAGGTTTTCAATTCTAATTTCCAGGAATACAAACACTTCGGAATTGTCTAATGCATCATGGGAAAAGTTCATTGCAGACTTTGAATCAAAAGAATTACAGCTTGCACTAGAACTAAGACATGAAAGTCTGGCACGTTTATTAGGGTTAGCAGGTAAATCTATCGATTATTATCATATTTTAATATTCTAGTATAAAATAGACTATAAATTTTTAAGTTTATATGCGATTCTGTTGAAGAAACGCTCCTAATTGAGCAAATATGCTAATAGTTTTGAGTTGATAAAAAAAGCAACTTGATGCTTTACTGACTTTTCCAGCAAAATGATTTTCACAAATTTCACATTGCAGGTCACCAAATGGGTCAACCCTGGTAGTTGGAAAGTTGTGTGATCATCATCCAAAAAAGAAGCGATGTGCTGATATCACGATATTCTGAGAACCGTCATGTACCTTTCAATAAGATCACAAAAGTAACTGTAAATATGTATACACTCCTCTTTGTCTTCAACAACTGGTAACCACGACAACCAATGAGGCAGGAGTTCTTCAACATTGATGTTACCATGGTTGTGCTTCATTATTTTGGTGACAGCAGAAATGGCATTTTCTGTAGCATTGACGTTTTCTGGTTCCCTGGATTGCGGATCTTGTATGACTCGTGTAAGAAATGATATGGCCTCTGTAATAAAATTTATATAAATCAATCCATGTAGATATTATGTTTGAACAAAATCCATCCAGCTCCAAAATAAAGTTTGAATTGTTGACATCACAAATAATATTATCTTTGCCATTATATTTTCCTGAGATCAGAAATTAAAAATATTTAAACATCTTGATTG